TGTCTCTGTGAGTCTGTTTCTGTTTTGTAGGTAAGTTCATTTGTGTTGTATTTTAGATTCCACATATGCGTGATATCATATGGTATTTGTCTTTGTCTTTCTGACTTACTTCGCTTAGGTATGTCAATCTCTAGGTCCATCCATGTTGCTGCAAATGGCATTATTTCATTCTTCTTTATGGCTGTATAGTACTCCATTGTATATATATACCACATCTTCTTTATCCATTCAGCTGTCGATGGACATTTAGGTTGTTTCGACGTCTCGGCTATTGTGAATAGTGCTGCTATAAACATATAGGTGCATGTATCCTTTTGAATTACAGTTTTCTCCAGATATATGCCCAGGAGTGGGATTGCTGGATCAGACGGTAACTCTATTTTTACTTTTTTGAGGAACCTCCATACTGATTTCAATAGTGGCTGCACCAACTTACATTCCCACCAACAGCGTAGGAGGGTTCCCTATTCTCCGCGCCCTTTCCAGCATTTGTCATTTGTAGCCTTTTAATCATGGCCATTCTGACTGGTGTGAGGTGGTACCTCATTGTAGTTTTGATTTGCATTTCTCTAATAATTAGTGATGTTGAGCATATTTTCATGTGCCTGTTGGCCATCTGTACGTCTTCTTTGGAGAAATGTCTATTTAGGTCTTCTGCCCATTTTTCAATTGGGTTGTTTGATTTTTTGATGTTGTATGAGCTGTTTGTATATTTCCAAAATTAAGCCCTTGTCAGCCACATTATTTGCAAATATTTTCTCCGAGTCTGTAGGTTGTCTTTTCGTTTTGTTTATGGTTTCCTTTGCTGTACAGAAGCTTGTAAGTTGACTAGGTCCCACAATTTGTTTATTTTTGCTTTTATTTTTATTGCCTTGGGAGACTGACCTAAGAAAATATTGGTACGATTTATGTCAGAGAACGTTTTGTATATGTTCTCTACTAGGAGTTTTATGGTGTCATGTCTTATAGTTAAGTCTTTAAGCCATGTTATTTTTGTATATGGTGTGAGGGTGTGTTCTAACTTCATTGATTTACATATATGGCTGTACAGCTTTCCCAACACCACTTGCTGAAGAGACTGTATTTTTTTCATTGTATATTCTTGCCTTCTTTGTCAAAGATTAAGTGACTGTAGGTGTGTGGGTTTATTTCTGGGCTTATTGGGTCTTTTTTTTTTTTTTTTTTTTGAGTCACCGTGCGGCTTTCAGGATCTTAGTTCCCCAACCAGGGATTGAACCCGTGCCCTCGGCAGTGAAAGCGCAGGGTCCTGACCACTGGACTGCCAGGGAATTCCCTTATTGGGTCTTGATATAAAATGTACTTCTTACTGTGGGTCAACATTAAAAAAAAAAAAGGAAAGCCACCATCTGATAAACTGCTCCCTAGTCTTTTCAACATCAGGACACACATAGAAAATGATTATTTGTTTAGCACAAATGATACTTGTCCAACTCACTGGGGCAAATAAATGAAGCTTCTTGGAGCTTAAGAGGTGACTGGAACAGGGTCACCCTGGACCCTGCCTGGCTGTTCTGTGGTGATGGGCACAATATCCCAGGCAAGCCCAAAGCACTCAAGGAGCTCCAGTCTGCAGAACAGGAGCAATTACAGCTCAGCAAAAAGCAATCATTTCTGGAAACAGCCAGAGCCTGTGTGCACTAGAAGGCAGGAGTGATCTGAGTTCCGAGACCTGGGCCCAAACAGGGCCTTTTGCTACCGACTTGGTTCAGCAATGAACTGCCCTTGAGCCCCTCAGTGTGGGTCCTGGAAAGCACCTGACCTCTCCACCGCCTGGGAGCAGTCCTCACAAGGCATTCACATGATCACATGGTTTTATAAAATTTGCAAAATTTGGACACTTAAGCCAGAATCGGTTAAGCCTGCTATCTCGCTTCACTCAGACTTCCTCTTCATCACGTTTCCCCTCCTGCTAGGAGGCCTCAGTGTGGCCACAGCACTGTGTGTTCATAATCGTGTATCTTACTTCTAAAACAGGGCCTCCAACGTTGGAGAGGCTTCAGGCCCCACAAAACCCGCCTCTGCCTCTGCCACCAACCGGGGTCGCAAAGGGGTCAGGGCAGGACTGCGCTGTTGTCCCACCTTCCCTCTTAGGGTCCTTGTAGCAGCCATTCTTGCACACCCATTACTGGGTGGGTTTTCTCTTTCTTTTTGAAATGCATTATTAATATTTAAAATGCACACAGTAAACAAACAGTACAAAAGAGCATGCAATGCACAGTAAGTCACCTGCCAACCCCAGTTCCCAGAGCTGAGCTTCAAAGGGATAATGCCCAAAACAGTGTCTGGTGGATCGTTCAAGAAAATATCTAGATCTAGATCCTATCCTATTTTTTATACAAACAGAAGTATATTTATACACCAGTTGTACAGACAAACCTTAGCAATCTTTCCACATCAGCACATAGAATATGACTTCATTCTTTTCAACCGCTACATAGACTGTATGTGTGGAATTTACCCTAACACATTAGGGCCGACTTCATCCCGTCCATGACGCACTACTTCACTGCACTTGTCCTGCAACTTCCAGGTGGTTTTGCGCAAGACCTCACAGAAGGCTGTTACCTGTTTCATAATATTTTCTAGTTTTTGATCCTTCACCTAGGAAATCTCACTCAAAAGTCAAGTCAAGCAGGTGGATCCCAAAGTTGGCCACCACGTGTCAGGAAATCAGCTGTTTGCTTAAAAATCAAACTCCGATCCCTTAAGATTAATGTTGCACCTGCGCCGCCCCGTGGGGAGTGAGACCCGTCCCCCGCACCCCCACAATTGCGGGTAAAGCTCCACCTCGGAGGTGCGGGAGTTTACAAAACTACCGGAGGCCGCCCAAGTGCTGGGTCTCAATGAGTCATCCCCATTCTGCAAGCTCCGGGTGTCACAATTGTGCCCAGTTCCATTCAGCTCCTCCACGTCCGGTTTAAATCTTCCAGCCTGTTAAACGCTGGGAGGGCGGGACTGCAGAGCCAGAGCGTTCTAGAGCGAGCAGCGCCACCTCGAGGCCAGCTGTGGTGGAGGCGGCGGTCAGGTGCCGGAGGTGGGCCAAGGTTCTCCTCCCCGCACGGAGATTCTCACCGCCCACTTCGGAGGGTGTGGGTTTGATTTCAAGGGAGGGATGGCAGTTTTTCTTGACTCTTCTCTCCCAGAACAGAGACTGATTCTTGGACTCATCTCTCTAGCTCAGTGACTACCCAAGTGTGTGGCGGGGGAGCAAAGTCATATAGGAAGTGCTCCCCATACGTTTGCGGACTGAATGAAGATGCCCCAGTAACTGTACAACGCTCCCACAGCAGGTGTAGGTTATAGTCCCCATTCCGTGCGTATGAACTTTTGCGTCCAGGGCCTTTACGACGAACTTCCCTGTGACGCGCCCAACTATTTACGCCGGTCCCTCGGAGGACCGGGTGGAGGAAGGTGGGGATTAGTTATGCAACAAGCGGAGTCAATCCGGGCCTATGGTCTTGGAGACTACAAGTTCCAGGATGCAGCCTTCCGTTAGCGTAGTGAGAGGTCGAGGTTGAGGGAGCATTGCCTTCTGGGAATTACAGTCTTGAGTTTGTTTGTGTTGCGAGCGAAACTAGGGGGGAGGGGGAGAGGGAGTAAACTATTAGCACGTGACGCCAGGGATCAGGTGGTAGGGCCAGCCTCCGCGCAAGAGCTGATTGGCTGACTCTAATACGAACGACGCCACTAGGGGTGGGCCGAGGAAGGGCGCAAGCGCACTGCGTTCCCAGTCTCGGGACCCTTTTCCGAGAGACTATGGCGCTCAACAAGAATCACTCGGAGGGCGGCGGAGTGATCGTCAACAATACCGAGAGGTGAAAACACTACGGAAGGATCCTGGAGGACTGAAGGGCGGGCGTCGAGGGTGTGGATAGTGGGTGGTGGGTGAGTGGGCGGTGGAGAATAAACCCGTGAAGAGGGGAAACTGATGGGGGGGTGGGGGGTGGGGTAACGGCTGGGGGCGGGGCTGAAGGAAGGTGGGTGAGGCGTGAGGGAAGGACCGGGATGTTGCAGCTGTGGGATGGGGGTGGGGCAGCTGGATAGGGTAGGGGTTTGGAGAGACGGGTGGGGGTTTGGAGAGACAGGCGGAACCTGTGGGTAGTTCTTGAGCCCCTGTCCCAGAGTAGGTGACTTTAAGAATTGGGAAGAGCTTTAGACAAAAATAATTGCCATTTATTGGGCGTTTACTATGTGTTAGGGACTACACCTCTTTTGCTTTTTTCAATATGTAAATCCTGTGCGGCAGATACTATTACTATCCACATTTTTACACGTAGGGAAACTGAGGTACAGAGCTTAAGTAACTTGCATGAGATCACAGAGCTGTAACAGAAAAGGAGTCCGGATTCCAAAGTCAGTAGCCTTAATTCCCAGTATGTAGCCTTCCAGTATATTCCAGAACTGCTGTTTCCAGATGAAAAACTGAGGCCCAGAGGTGAAATTACATAGCTAACGTTTGTCACATGTTTGACACGTTTTCTGTAAAGGTCTGTCTTTGCCTCTTTCCCTTGAATTCCTGTTGGCTTGGATCACTTCCCAGAGCAGAGGTCTCCCAGCTTCAAGGTTCTTCCTACCCACCCCCGGTCAATTCTGTCTCTCCTCCACCTCTGGGCTCCTTGGATGACTTCTCTTCTCTTGCTCCTTGGGCGCTGAGAATCAGGCCAACCAGCCCTGCTTGAGCTATGCTGACCTGAAAGCATTTTTTGAAGGAGCATAGGAGGAATCTGAGTCCCCACAGGAGACTTGGTGGGATCAAAGTCTGGTAGCTGATTAAGGCCAGCACCCAGCCCAGGGCTGTCATCCGGGAATGCTTGATGAGTCAGAGGAGAGCACCCAGGGAGCCCAGACCTCAGAATATTGACTCTTCCTCCATCTTAACCTGCTCAGCGACTGGCCGTCCCAGCCTGTTCCTGGTAATGACCTCTTTTCTCTGAGCTGTATTTTTCTTTTCTGGTACTGGTCCTCTTTCCCACTTACCCCTCCCCAGTGAAGGAAGTTGTGATATCTGGGAGGCGAAAGGAGACAAATGGAACCATGTGAGCTTGGAGCTTGTTGTCTTGTAATCAGAGAAACTTCACATTGCCCTTAGTGTGTAGCTGCTCTGTGTGCAAGCCAGTCCTGGACCCGGACAAACCCTTTTGATGCCATTGGTAACATCTCCTGGGACTATTTCTTTCTCTCTCAGTGAGACTTTTCTGGGCCAAGAATGTATCTATCCTGCTGGGGCTCCTACCCGGTTTAGGACTCATTGCTGCTAAATAATGATGTGCCTTGTTTCAGAAACTGCTTCAGCCTCATTTCTGAAAAAAATGTGTAAACAGTAATTGAAGTCCACATTCAGCATTTAAAACTTGATATGTAAAATAGTGAACCTTATTCTTCAAATCATGAATCCCTTTGAGAGTGATGAAAACTGTGGTCTCTCCCAGGAAAAAGCACGTACGTGATCATCTCAAGGGCTAGTGGACTGATACCCCTGCAGACCCAGCTTCAGAACCCCAGGTTTAAAGGAACCCTGAAGTGAGCCCTTTGGTAATGTGTAGAGTCATGTATTAAAATGTTCGTATATCAGACTTAAAAAAGTAAGCCAACAAAAACAGAACACCTGTCACAAGGACCTAGAAGAGAATAGAAGAGTTAACCCAGATAATCTAACCTGATTTGAGGGATTATGGCGTCTCCAGAGCCCTGTGGCTCTTCTATGGCACTGGTCACTTTTTTTTTTTTTTTTGGCTGTGCCTCTTGGCTTGTGGGATTTTTTGTTCCCTGACCAGGGATTGAACTCTGGCCCTCGGCAGTGAGAGCCTGGAGTCCTAACCACTGGACTGCCAGGGAAGTCCCTGCACTGGTCACTTAGGGGCTGTGTGTGTGGGGTTTGGGGGAAATTCTATGGACCCCCAGCTTGCTTATCTCTTCCATGGCTGTGTTAGTAGTTTTCTCACGTCAGTGTTGAAGCGGATGACTTGCTGGCAACTACTAATAAGCAACTGCTACCCAGGAGGGGCCAGTCCCTGGGGGTGACAGATTGTGACTCCAACTGTCTCATCAGGGCATTTCCTCTTTTCTTATCACAGCATCCTGATGTCCTATGACCATGTAGAACTTACGTTCAGTGACATGAGGAATGTGCCAGAGGCCTTCAAAGGGACCAAGAAAGGCACCGTCTACCTTACCCCGTACCGGGTACGTTGTACAGCGGGACGGTTGGTTTGGCGAGTCAGTTGGTTTGGAGACCAACTCACATCACCTCCTGGAGGCTGATGTGAGTCTTCGGTCAGCCGCAGCCTCGTGAGTCTGGTGGCCGCTGAACCCTGGTGAATGTTAGCGTGTTTCTGTCACATGCTCCTGGTTCTAGAACCACCAGCCTCTTCGCACAGCAGAACGGATGGCTGGACAGTGAATCCGTGTAAGTTCCAGAGCTGCTGCTGCAAAATCTCTCTGTAGCTGGATGCAGCTGCTGGGATGACCTGGGCCTGGAGGGGAAAGGCTATTGTTACTTTGATCTCTGTAGGAGTAACCCGTGAGGCCTTTGTGCACATCCAGAGTGATAAATGTGGTCAACAGGATGCAGTAGCCTGGCCACAGCCTCGGGAGTAGGCAGAGAGACCAGCAAAAGCCTGCAAAGCGAGAAATGCCAGACTGCAGAATGGGCCTTGCCTGAGAGTTCCCCAAGCAGACTCTGAGAGACTTCCAGAGAAACACAGATGGATATTCTTGGGAGAGGATCGCTGCCTGCAGCTATCCCAGAGTTAGACTTAAGGATCGTTAGAGGAAGAGGAGCACAGGCTTTAGCGGAGACCAGGGTGGGGGGGCGTCTCAAAACCCTATCTCTGGGGGTTCAAGCTGGCATCTTCAGTCACAGATTGAAGTCATGGGGGTAAAGCAGAATGTTCTCCACGTGCAGGGTGGGAGACGCTGGCTGTTGGGCAGAGTCTGCAGAAAGGTTAGGATCATCCCTTCTCCTGGGATCTGCCACCCGTTGCCGTTCCCTCTTCTCAGTTCTGTGAAGCTCAGGCTGAACTCTCCCTTCAGGAGCCCTTCCCTGCTTCGGCCCTGCCTCTCTGCCCTGGCCTTGCAGGCTCCACTTAGGCTCCACATCCGCCGTCTCCTCACCACCACGTCTCAGTGGCAGAGCAGTTTGTCCTGCTCACACGTGCTGTCTGAGCCACACATTTTTCTTGTGAATTCACATGTCTGGCCTCTCCAGCCCGGCTGCATCTGAGGCCTTTTACTCTAAAAAGCGCTCTCCGGGGCTGGCTGGTGCAGAGAGCGCCCTGGGGCTGCCGGGTGCTGGCTCGGGCCACCCGCCCCGGCCCTGGGAGGTGATGGCTTCCCACACATAGGAGGTGATGGCCGGGCAGGCCATGGTTCGGGTGGGGATGGCCCTTGTCCTCTCTCCCTGCAGGTCATCTTTCTGTCCAAGGGGAAGGATGCCATGCAGTCCTTCATGATGCCGTTTTATCTGATGAAGGACTGTGAGATCAAGCAGCCTGTGTTTGGAGCAAACTACATCAAGGGAACAGTGAAGGCTGAAGCAGGAGGTAGGTGACAAGGGAGCTTGGGGACACTGACGGGGCTTCCAGAGAGGTGCTCTGGGGCATCTCTGACTGCTCCCCTGGAGACGTCCTCTTTGGACCCCATCACCCTAGCCGTGTCTTCTTCCTGGCTCTGGATTAGCTTCCAAGACCAACACTTGGGCTGCCAGCTGTTCAGCAGGGGGGAGTTGCCAAGAGCTGGAAAGTGCTAACGTTAAAGATGACAGCTCAGGTCACCTTTTCAGAGAGGGAAGTCAGCAGAATGACTGTAAACCAAGTGAAAATGCTTATTGTGAGCTGGGGAGTGTGTTCAGATGTTAGGTGTGGGAGGGAGCTGTATCAGGTTCTTGGGAAGGGTCTTTCCCCTAGAGCCAGGCAGAACCCGCTGCCCCTCTGTAACGCCCGGAGAGGCCCTGCTTGGTGGCGGGCTCTTTGCAGACCCCAGAGACCCCTGCGTCGAACTCGCCTTCCCGCTCACGTTCAGCCTGGCCCGAGCCTTGCTGTTGAGCTCACAGTTCCCCTTTGGACAGAAGCCAGGCTGGAGGGGCCTGGGGTTCGTCCTCAGGCCCCCTCGGGATGAGAGATCTGCTCTGAACTTGAGTGTCAGTTGTTGCTGGGCGTGCTTGTTGCTGAGAAGCTGCTTTACTGGGGGTGGGAGGCCTGAGTGCAGATGTGCTTACAGGGCTGCGCAGTAAGTGGGCAGGAGGTGGCCGGTCAGCGCTGGTGTGCGATGTGGGTGGTGAGCCTCCTGGCCATTGGATGGGGCCTGGAGACGACGAAGAGCCATCTCTTCAGACGTAACTTAAGTTCTTTTCCGGAGCTGTTGATGCACTGTTCCCTTCTCAGGTGGCTGGGAAGGCTCTGCGTCGTACAAGTTTACCTTTGTGGCAGGGGGCGCCATCGAATTTGGACAGCGGATGCTACAGGTGGCATCTCAAGGTATCAAGGCTCTAAAAATCAGGGGCCAAGGACGCATTGAATGTGTGTGCTATTTGCTCATTTGGGTTTGTTTACTTTTTGTTTTGTTTTTTAAGCAGTCAGGAGATGAGTTTCTGGGCCCCAGGCTGCCCAGGGCTGGGAGTTGGGAAGGAAGCCTGTAATAAAATCACCGTCCTGTACCTCAAAGGCTGGGTTTCCCCTGCCTGGAGCAGGTATAGGACATTTTAACAAAGCTGTTTGGACTCAAGGACATTTTACTGTGGCCTCATAGAAACAAACAAAAGCTCAACCATTAAGCTACCATCAGGCAACCATTTCAAGTCCCCAGGGGGTGTGTTCAGCAGACCTCCTCACCCCGTCCCCAGCCTCACCCAGCCCCATTCTCTACCCCGCCTCTAGCCTCCTCCTTCCCTCCATCCATCCCTCCATCCTCACCCCGTCCCCAGCCTCACCCAGCCCCATTCTCTACCCCGCCTCTAGCCTCCTCCTTCCCTCCATCCATCCCTCCATCCTCACCCCGTCCCCAGCCTCACCCAGCCCCATTCTCTACCCCGCCTCTAGCCTCCTCCTTCCCTCCATCCATCCCTCCCTCCTCACCCCGTCCCCAGCCTCACCCAGCCCCATTCTCTACCCTGCCTCTAGCCTCCTCCTTCCCTCCATCCATCCCTCCGCCCCTGTCCTGGACCTCCTCCACCCCAGCTCTGACCTCTCTCCCCATCCAGACCCCTCGCCTCATTCCTGACCGAGGCGGACTCCACTGGGGAGGGGTGAGGCGTGTCTGCTGTGCACATTCCTGGGACCCTGCAGCTCCCCTCGGCAGGCGGTGGGAGCGCCCTCTCCCCAATACCCAAGGCCCGCAACACTCATTTCTCTCTCCCCTTGTGCTATAGCCTCCCGAGGTGAAGCCCCCAACGGAGCCTATGGTTACTCTTACATGCCCAGCGGGGCCTATGTCTTCCCCCCACCAGTCGCCAATGGAATGTACCCCTGCCCTCCTGGCTACCCCTGTCCACTGCCCCCAGCTGGTGAGTGTGTCCTTTGCTGCCCACGCCTCCCCCTGCACTGACCACCCTCACCCAGGCCAGGGGATTGTAGAGGGGAGACTTGTTCTTTGGCCTGCTTCAGGACTGACAGAGCAGCTGGAGGGGCCTGGGAGGGTGCCAGCTACAGGAGCTGGGGCTGGGCTGCTCACTGGGTCCCCGTCACTCTCTTGCCGAGCAGAGTTCTATCCGGGACCTCCCATGATGGACGGGGCCATGGGGTACATGCAGCCCCCGCCGCCGCCCTACCCTGGGCCCATGGAGCCTCCAGTCAGCGGCCCCGATGTCCCCTCCACTCCTGCAGGTGAGGGCCCTGGCTGCTCCCCGTGGTTGCACGGAAGTCCCAGATAACGAATGACCACTGGCCTAGGGACGATCCCAGGGGACCGGCAGCGCGGTGGCCTGGTGGCGAAGGGGTAGAGTCCAGCCCCCACTCTGTCCTTTAGCTGGCCACGTGCCCTGGGCCCAGGAAGGTCCCCCTCTGCACCGCAGTCTTCTCATCCACAAAACGTGCCAACGGCACCACCTGGGGGGCCTGTGGTGAAGATGGGGGGGGCAGGAGGTGTAGAGGGACCAGATGGGACGGTGTGGCACGCGGTAAGTGCTCAGGAAGGGTTCTCCACTGTTTTAGTGATGGAACTGCGTCCTCAGCACCAGCCGCCCCGAGCACCAGGGGGCCGGGGCCGTGGGGGCAGCGGAGGAGGCGGGGAGGGCTTGTCCCCGGGGCTCTTCCCCAGTTTGTATGTTCTCACAGCTGAAGCCAAGGCCGCCGAAGCAGCCGCCAGCGCCTATTACAACCCAGGCAACCCACACAATGTCTACATGCCCACGGTGAGCACGGCTGGTGAGCGGGGGGGCCGTGGCACTGGCGGGACCCCCGCAGCCCCAGTTTGCTGGGATTTAGGGGCAGGAGAGACCTCGGCTTATTCCGACCCTTCCAACGTGATCTTTCCTTTCTTCCTCAGAGCCAGCCTCCGCCGCCTCCTTACTACCCCCCAGAAGATAAGAAGACCCAGTAGACCGCTCACACCCCCCTCCTCCCGCCATTCTTTGCTCTCTCCTCCCCTCCCCTTGGGGCTGAGTCTGGGGTGGGGGGCGGGCCTCGTCCTTTCTCCAGGTCTGATTATAAAGCAGTCACCAGAAACTAGCCTGGCAGGGGGAGGGCCCCTTGACTTGGATGAATATAAAGCAGGCGCCAGGACCTAGCCTTGAGGGGTGCGGGGAGCGGTGCCTCCCAGCTTCCCACGTGAGCCCAGAGCCCACAGCGCTTCCCTCTCAGCATCCCCGGGGGGCATCCCCCTCGTTCCTGTCCTGCTCTCATAGCTTCTACCCACGGAGGGACTCTCTGGCCACCTCCTCCGCCGCAGTCCAGCTCTCTCGTTTTGTAGCCACTTTATCCTCACGAGCTTTGCCCTCCCCAGGGACCCCTGCCAGGCCCTACTCACATTCCATCCACTCTGGTCTGTACCTGGCTGTGGAAGGCCACCTGTCTGCCGGACTGTCAGCCTACGTTCCATTCCCAGCCAGCCTCAGCCCCCGTCACGCTCGCCTTCCCTTCCCTGTCCTTGGTCATCCTGTTGCCACTGCTTTTGACTTTTGGAGCTTTCCCACGAGCCACCAGGGGGTGGGTGGCGTGAGGGCCAGGCTGCTGCAGCTGGGGAGGGAGCCCCTCTGCTTCCCTGCTAGTTTTTCTGGAATTTGTTTCCCTTTGCCTTCTCTCTTTTCCCTCTAGAAGGGGCTTCTTGGACTGGAACTGCAGAATGCATGTCCACTTGGGGGCTGCCCGGAGGGCTGGGAACAGACCCCTGGGGCCTGGCCTGGGCGCTGACCATGACCTCTCGCCAGCCCCTGGGGCCTGGCCTGGGCGCTGACCATGACCTCTCGCCAGCCCCTTAGCCTTCCCTCTTCCCTTTAAGCTTCTTGCCTGGTTGGTGATATGCCCCCTGGATGCACTAAAATTTGCTCCCATTTGCTCCTGGACTGGCTGTGAAGAGAGGAGATGGTTATTTAAAGAGAATTCCCTATTTATTTGACAAAAAAATTCAGTTAATATATTAATGTGAAATAAACCCTGTTTGCACCTTGATTTGTCTGCTGAAAATGTGAACTTGTAAAAATGAGTGACTGGACCCTGCCTGGCTCTGCGTGTGGTGACGTGGCTCTTGGGAAGGAGAGCCATCTGGCTGCTCGGGGCCGGGGGAGGCAGTGTTCCCTCCCGTGTGAGAGTCCCTTGTTCTCTTGGCCTATTTGGGGCCAGGATGCTAAGGCCTCTCCTGTGTCCATTCTGTGGCAGTTGCTCAGCAACTGTGCCCACCCGCTGAGTCCCCTGGGGCCTGGCACAGCCCAGCAGCTACTCTGGGTGGGAGGCGTTGGCAGGAGGGCCCAGGCTGGACTGGAGTTCCTGCGTCCCTGGCTGCTGTGCTCACCGCCTTGCCTCGTGGGAGTTAGAGGGCACGTCAGTGAAGGCCAGGCATTCAAGACTGGCCCCTGCAGTGTGGGCTCTGGTGCCACCCTCCTTGTGAACCCTGGGGCCGGGGCGGGTGGGAAACGGCCACCGTCCATGCCCAGGCCTGCACTCCCTGGACCCTGGCCTGGAGGGTGGCCCTGGAACCCTGTGGTGGAGCTCAGCGCAGCACCGAAGCGTCCATTTTCCTGTCCCTTCTGGGCCAAGTTGCCCTGTCAGGAGAGGCTAAGCAGTAGCCTCTCCAGCCTGTTCCTTCTGCAGCCCCGCCCAGCAGCTCCTCGGGTTGGCTGAGCCCCCTACAAGGGCGTTTGAAGGGAGCAGCTGCCCGACCATCCTTATGGGGGCCGGGGCCGTGGGGCCATCCCCGCCCCACGCAGCCTGGCCCTGTCACCTCGGTGGAATGTCACCTGGGGAGCAGAGCAGGTTGAGCGGTTGGCTGACAGCTGGGGAGACGCCTCTCCGGAGCCTCCACCCTGTGCCCTGCCCACCCCTACTCCGGGTCTGCGGCCGGTTCAGGGAGACCTGAGGTTGAGAACCCCACCGGCCAGGGGAGCGTCCCCCAGTCACCTGGATGCGGCAGGCCCGCTGCCCACGGCGCTGGACCCTCCCCAGGGCCCCTGTGGGAAGGTGGGGTGGGGCGGACCCGCCCACCTGGTCTACCTCTGCCTCCAGCCCAGCTGAGTTCCTCCCAGGATCCCAGCCAGCGGGAGGGAGGAAGGAAGGTGCAGGGGCCTGGGAGCCGTGGCCCCCCAACCCCAAGGTGGTGAAACCCCGACCTGACCCTCCCGTGACCCGCCCTTCCTTCCCCTTCCCTTGGCACCGGGTGGCAGCCCTGGGCTCTTTGCATAACCCTGTGGCTTCCCTATCTTCACCCAAGGCAGCGGCACCGCGGAGGGGAAGGGCAGGGCTGGCCACCATGGCGACGCTCTTCTCCCAGACCCAGCGGCGCCCTCCCCTTTTGCGCCAGGCCATCAAGATAAGACGCCGCAGAGTCAGAGATCTGCAGGAGGCCCTGCCCCACAGGGCTCAGGAGGTAGGAGGGACCTCAGTGGGGAGAAGAGCAGGCCTGGGTGGGGGGTCCCACCTCCTGTGGGCAGTGGCTGAGGATGTGTGCCCCTCTCCTGCCCACCCTAGCCTCTGGCAGAGCCTTTGGGGTCTGCAGAAGAGGGTCTGCCATGTGTTCTCTGGGCCAGCCTGGGCCTCAGGTCTGGGATCTGAGCCTTTCGGAGGCCCCTCCCTCTCGCGCCCCAACCCCAGCCATCCTCTGCTCCTCCAGTCCCAAAGACACCCACTCCACTAGGCAGGGAGTGTCCGCTGGGGGCTGGGCCTTCGGGGACCAGCTGAGCAGCCCCCAGGCCTGCTTGGCATGAGCCCCCAGTCTCCCACCTCTGCTGCTGGGCCTCACTTCCGCCGCCGGGGTGCGGAGCGGAGCCGCCCGATAAGCAGCGCTGTTTCCTCTGGGGAAGGAAGGGAGGTTGGGGGAGGTTGAGGCCACGGGCGCCTGCTGGCGCAGCTGAGCTGGCACAGTTGAGCGCCAATGGACCCGAGCCACGGCGGGCCAGGGGATGAGGAAGGTGGCCCGGGTGCCGGACCCCCGGGAGCCCTGCTGTGGGAACAGGTGTGCGGCACTGGTGGGGCTGGAGGCCAGGTGCTGGGGCCCCCTCAGCTCTTGGGGCTGGGCCTGCTCTGTGAGGAGCCGTTCCCGCGTCCGAGCCCTGGTCCAGGCCTCTGGGACACCTTGTCTTTCCACCTCGCTCCCCAGATCGAGCCAACATCCCACCACTTGTCCCCTGAGGAGGTAAGAATCGGAGTGTTTCCGGGGCGCAGAGGGGTGCTGGGAAGCAGCCCTGCATCCTCCCAAACACCCCCCCCTCCCCTCCGCTGCGCGTGTGGACGCCTGGTCCCCACCTTGGGCATGTGCCGTGAGTGCCAGGGGTGGCTGGTGGGGCTCAGACCTTGTGGTGGGTGGACGGGGGTTCCCAAGGTGACCCTGCTGTGTCTCAGCGGGCCCTGCTCTACGAGGAAGCTCTCTACACGGTCCTGTACCGCCTGGGTCAGCCCGAGCCCACCCATGTCGGGGAGTCCTCTGAGCTGCTGCGATACCTGCAGGAGGTGAGGCCAGCCCCCACTCCACCTGCCTCCCTGCAGCCTGGCCGTGTCCCCCCACTCCCACCCCGTGCCCCAAGCTTCCCACACTCCTACACCACCAGGCCTTCCGTATGGAGCCCAGGGAGCACGAGCAGATGCTGCAGCAGGTCCAGGAGCTCGAGGTAAGCCTGCCAGGGCTGTCCTGAGCAAACACAGGGGCCGGGAAGCCCAGCTCCCTCTGGGACTCAGGCCCCACCTCCTGTCGCTCCAGAAACCAATATTCTGTCTGAAGGCCACGGTGAAACAAGCCAAGGGCATTCTGGGCAAGGATGTCAGTGGTGAGTAGGCGATGGGGGGCCCTGAGGGCCTTCTTTCTGGCTCCTTCCTCTCCCCATCACAGCCTGTCCCAGAGCTTGTGGTGCAAATTCCCATCTCCCAAACATCCCCTGGGGCTCACTTTGGTGTTGCTGGCCCCTTGTCCTTGGAGCCTGGGATGGAGAGGGGTAGGGGGTGTTAAGGACTCTCCCTGGGAGCCTAGCCAACACCCCTCCCCTTCCTCCCCAGGGTTCAGTGACCCCTATTGCCTGCTGGGCATCGAGCAGGGGGTGGGTGTGCCGGGGGACAGCCCTGGACTCCAGCAGCGGCAGAAGGCCGTGGTGAGGCACACCATCCCAGAGGAGCAGATCCACCGCACCCAGGTCATCACCCAGACACTCAACCCCGTCTGGGACGAGACCTTCATCCTGTACGTGGCCCTGCCCCAGTTCCTACCCACTCTGGGCCAGCAGCACTTCCTGGCTCGGGGGAGGGAGCTTGGTTTGACTGGAGGAGGAGCCTGCTCCCGAGGCAGGCAAGACTGACAGGAGGCCAAGCAGGACACAGCAATGGCTTAAATGCCACGTGCTGATGGGCGGCGGAGGGTCAGACACATCTGGGTTGATCTGGGGGGTAGCCTGAAGCCTTACTTTAAAGGAGAGAGAGATGCAGTTGGGAGGGGAGGAGAATTTGCAGGGAGGGACTAAGACTTGGCAGTGGGTGATACTGGATGGCAGTTTGGGGGGGCAGGCTCGGGGCTGAGGTAGCCTGTGGCCTGGTCAGGGGTCTATCCCTCCAAGACCCTCAGCCATGCTCTTTTCTCACTGCAGGGAGTTTGAGGACATAAGCAATGCCAGCTTTCGTCTGGACATGTGGTGAGGAGCATGTCCCCCCCCCATGTAGGGGTTGGGAAGAGAAGGGGGCCTGGAGGTGAGGGTGGCAGAAAGGGGTTGGGGGCTCCCAGGACACCCTCTCCGCCTCTGCTCAAACCTCACCCCACCAGGGACATGGACACCGTGGAGTCCGTCAGACAGAAGCTCGGGGAGCTCACAGATCTGCACGGGCTGCGAAGGTGAGGGCCGTGGGTTTCCCGGGGAAGGAGTCGGGGCTCCTTCTGCCCTGCCTCCACATGCATACTGGTTGTTGGGCTGCAGGCTCTCACCTGGGCCCAGGTGGCTGCAGGTAGGGAGCAGATTCCAGCCTGACCCGGTCAGGCTCCTGGCCCCTCTCCCTCACGGCACCCTGCCTGGAACAGGATCTTTAAGGAGGTCCGGAAGGACAAAGGCCAGGATGACTTTCTGGGGAACGTGGTTCTGAGACTACAGGTGAGTGGAGTGGGAAAAGGTTCCCAGGAGAGAGGCAGAGAGGGGGTGACGAGGGGATCAAGGGAGGGGTTCCAGGCCTGCACCAAGCGGAGCCTGGGGTCTGCCTCCCATCGCCTCCCCTGCCCCCGACCGGGTGAGGCTCCTGCGGCTCACAGGCATGGGCATCCCCTGCCTGCCCGGCCTGCCAGGACCTGCACTGCCGGGAGGATCAGTGGTACCCGCTAGAGCCTTGCACGGAGACCTACCCGGACCGTGGTCAGTGTCACCTCCAGTTCCAGTTCATTCACAAGCGGGTAGGTGGCCCGGCTGGGTGGGGAGGAAGGGCTGCACTGGGCGTGGGGTCCTCTGCTCACGGCCGCGCCGGCCGCCCTGCAGAGAGACACCGTGGCCAGCCGCTCGCAGCCCAGCTACACAGTGCACCTCCGCCTGCTGCAGCAGCTCGTGTCCCACGAGGTCACCCAGCACCAGGTACTGCCCTCCCGGGGCTGGGCAGGGCCAGGGTCTGCCTGTCAGGTCCTGACACCCTCCACCTGTCCCCTCAGGCGGGCAGCACCTCCTGGAATGGGTTGCTGAGCCCCCAGGCTGCCACCGTCCTCTTCCTCCACTCCACGCAGAAGGACCTGTCCGACTTCCACCAGTCCATGGCGTGAGTGCCCTTCCGAGCCCGAGTGCCCGAGGGCCGTCTGTGCCGCACCACCCTCTCCCTCCCTGCGTGCCCTCCTGCAGGCTGACAGCCCGAAGTCTAACCCTCAGGAGATTTCTGTTTGGGGCCCAAATTGTATTTTAAGTTTTGAGTCAGTTGCCGACTTTTAAAACTCTGGAGATTTGCTGTGCGGATTCACATCACCAGTTTCCCGTGAAAGCTTCGTGCTGGAATCGCAGGGCTGTCGCTTTGCTGGGCTGCACGTGGTCAGAGCAGAGTAGCGTGTCCTCCCCCATCCATCACAGTTGCCATCTGGGCGCTTCGTCCCCTGACACCACCTGAGTCCTTCTGGACAGTTGAGTTTGCCACCCTGGGCCCAGACCCCAGGGCCATTGAACAGATCTGTGTGCTGATGCTCCTGGATCCGTGTTGAGGGCCTGTCACCTCCCCTGAGCCTTGTTAGATTACGGGAATGCCAGGAAGGACACACAGGAGTTTGTAGATTTTTCCATGCACGAGAGGAGTAGGGGCACAGCCCGGGTGCTGCCAGGAGGAGGACTGAGAGTGGGAGCTGACACTTGGCATTCAGTAGGGGATCAGAAGGAGGCTGGCGGAGAAGGGCAGCTTCTAGGACCAGGGGCAGGTGGGTATTCCTGGATGGCTGTGGGGAATGCAGGTGAGGCTGGAGACTGGAGCAGGCACCGAGGGTGAGGGCCTCACTTGCCTGCAGGGCCTCAGCAGGGAGTGCGGCGCTGTATCCCCGCCTGGCGGAGGCCTGTCCCTGGGCTGCTCTTCTGCCCCAGCCTCCTTCGCCTTCCCTCTTGTCTCAGTTCGGTCACCTCTGTGAAGTCTCCCCTCGACTCTCTGAAGGGATGCTCTAGCTGAAGTTTTACGTGTACTTGAAGGCTCGAGTCTCCAAATCTGATTTCTCAAAAGAAGCAAGAAGTCCTGAATTTTAAAATCACAAATATTCTAATTTAAGAGATGGACAATTCATTTACATGTTTGAAAAGCACTAATGGGAACAAAAACAATCCTGTGGGTTACCTTCAGCCACTGGTTTTCAGCCTCTGCGGGTCGATGGGGATCCCCAGGAGGCTTTGGGGTGGGGGTGGGGTGGGGATAACGCCGCACCACCAGCCCCTACCCCACCCCCACCCCCTCCAGGCCAGGCCAGGTGAGCTGTGAGAAGGAACGTGCCCCACTTGGCCAGGCTGAGGGCTTCCTGTCTGCCACAGGCAGTGGCTGGCCTACAGCCGTCTCTACCAGAGCCTGGAGTTCCCCAGCAGCTGCCTCCTGTACCCCATCACCAGCATCGAGTACCAGTGGATCCAGGGCCGGCTCAAGGCAGAGCAGGTGGGCTGGGGCGGGGCGAGTGGTGTTGGGCAGGCAGGGCTCAGGGAGCGGCTCCCCGGGCCCCATAAAGCAGCCCCCGCCTCACAGCACCGTCCTGGCCCTGCAGCTGGAGGAGCTGGCCGCCTCATTCAGCTCCCTGCTGGCCTATGGCCTCTCCCTCATCCGAAGGTTCCGTTCTGTCTTCCCCCTCTCCGTCTCCGACTCCCCAGCCCGGCTGCAGTCTCTCCTCAGGTCAGTGGTTACCCCCCGCTTCAGTGGAGTCGGGGACGGGGAACAGCTGGGGCACCTCTGGGGTGGGGAAGCCTGCCGGCGGAGTGAGTGGGGGCTACGGGGCAACGGGCATCTTGCACACGGCTCTCTCTCCCCACAGGGTCCTGGTACAGATGTGCAAGATGAAAGCCTTTGGAGAACTGTGCCCCGAAAGAGGCCCCCTGCCCCGCCTGGTGACCGAGGCACTGCAGGTATGGTGCCCACCCTGTAGCTGCGGTGCCTGGGCCCAGCAGCCCTCCCTGCTCACTGTCTCTCTGCCCACAGACTGGCACCACTGAATGGTTCCACCTGAAGCAGCAGCAGTATCAGCCCATGGTGCAGGTGAGGGGGCTCGGGTGAGGAGGTGGGTGGTGGGACAGGATGCTTGCCCCTCAGAGCCCTGCTTGGCTCACCTCTGCCCCTGCCAGGGCATGCTGGAGGCGGGCAAGGCCTTACTGAACCTGGTACAAGACATCATTGGCGACCTGCACCAGTGCCAGCGCACCTGGAGCAAGATCTTCCATAAGTGAGCAGGCGGCCGGGCTGGGAGGCAGTGCAGCAGGGGCTCAGAATGGGGACCAGAGGGACCCCGCTGTGTGCCACCAGGTCACACCTGCTGCCTTTCCTCCAGTGTCCTCAAGATCGACCTCTTCTCCATGGCTTTCCTGGAGCTGCAATGGCTGGTGAGCCCCACCAGCCCCCCGCCCCATCCACCCATCGCGTCCCAAGGCCACAGCCCTCTGCCCTGGCTCTGGAGCTCCGCCCACCACGCCTTCCCTTCGCAGGTGGCCAAGAGGGTGCAGGACCACATTGCTGTGGTGAGCGGTGCCATGACCCCGGAGATGGGCGAAAGTCTGTTCCAGCTCTACGTCAGCCTCAAGGAGCTCTACCAGCTGGGCCCGGTCCTCTCGGAGAGGTGGGCAGCAGACTGGCTGCAGGGAGAGGAGGGCCCGAAGCCTGCAATGGCCCCGGCTTTCCCCAGGCTGACCCTGGCTCTCCCCAGGGATGGCGTCCTGGCCCTGGATGGCTTCCACCACTGGTTCCAGCCGGCCATCCCCTCCTGGCTGCAGAAGACGTACAGCGTGGCCCTGGAGCGGGTGCAGCGCTCTGTGCAGATGGACGAGGTGGGGTTGGGGCCTGGACTAGGGGCAGAGTCCCACATTTCGGGGTGTGGCTCGCAGCTCTGCCAACCGTGTGGCACGTGCGGAAGCGGTTAACCAGCTTTGAGCGGTGCTCTCGAGGCCAGCTGAGTGCAAAATCCTGCCTCCTGTTATATTGGGTGGGGGGGACTTGGTTTACATGCTGATCCCCGCAGCCTGGGGGGTCTGGGCAGAGCCCTGCTTGTTCACCTTGCAGCCCCCGGCCCAGCTCTGTGCTTGCTGTGGCTCTATGAGCCCTGGATGCTTGCAAGTGCAAGTGGGGAGGGAGAGCATGGATTTGGCCAGCCTTGAGCCCTCCTTTCTACACACTCCCCCGTCTCCTAGCTGGTGCCCCTGGGTGAACTGACCAAGCACAGCACATCGGCTGTGGACCTGTCCACCTGCTTTGCCCAGATCAGCCACACTGCCCAGCAGCTGGACTGGCCTGACCCAGAGGAGGCCTTCATGATCACCGTCAAGTTTGTGGAGGTGCAGCCTCATTCCCACCCCACGATTTCTCCCAAGTTCTCATCCTAGCAGCCTCCAAAAGCCTATGTCCTAAATCCCCCAAGTCACTGAAATTCCCTTGCCTCCCCCCGCATCTGCCTCTCCTCGGCACTCCCCACCCCCATTGATCACGCCCGCCTCACCCCAGGACACCTGTCGGCTGGCCCTGGTGTACTGCAGCCTTATAAAGGCCCGGGCCCGTGAGCTGTCTGCCGGCCAGAAGGACCAGGGCCAGGCAGCCAACATGGTAAGGGCCAGAGCTGGAGGCTGAGGCTGAGGCTGGGCCGGGGTAGGGGTGGAGCCTGCCAGTCCTGGCACTATTCAGGAAGCTTGGCATCCCTGTGCCCACGCCTGCCTGCAGCTGTGCGTGGTGGTGAATGACATGGAGCAGCTGCGGCTGGTGATCGGCAAGCTGCCCACCCAGCTGGCATGGGAGGCGCTGGAGCAGCGGGTAGGGGCCGTGCTGGAGCAGGGGCAGCTGCAGAACACGCTGCATGCCCAGCTGCAGGGCGCCCTGGCTGGGCTGGGCCATGAGATCCGCACTGGCGTCCGCACCTTGGCCGAGCAGGTAATTTGTTTGACCCGCAGTGACCCCACCCCACCCATCCTCAGCCTGAAGTACCCTCCAGCAGGACTTGGGCCAATGTCCAGCCCCCTTCCCTTCCTGAACCTAAACTCGGGCCCCAAGCAACCTCTCCTGACCCCCGACTCACACCCTGGCCTCCCTCCTACCGTTTTGTGTCTCCAGCTGGAGGTGGGCATTGCCAAGCACATCCAGAAACTCGTGGGCATCAAGGAATCCGTCCTGCCTGAGGATGTGAGTGGCCCTCCCTGCTTGCTGACCTTTGCCAGCAATGTGGGTCAGGGATTGCAAAGGGGCTTAGGGTGGGCAAGGGGCTGAAGGCCATGGGGTGTCAGAGATAAGTCCCCCAGACTTGGGCAAGGAATGCTCCCTCCTGGCCTCGGTTTCCCCCTTAGATGCTAAGACGGTGGGGTTGGGTCATTCCACGGGCTCTCCCAGCACTGACAGTCAATGTGGGAGCTGCAGTGGGGGAGGCTTTAGACTTTGCAGCCAAACAGCCCTGGGCATGACTCCTTCTTAGCTGCCTACTAGCGGAGCTGTTCTATTTATATAGGTCAGCTGACCTCAGGCTCGTCATCTGTCAGCGGGGATAATAATTACACGTGTGATTGCTTGGGAGCATGCTACTCATTAATTCATCAACTATTTAAGCACCCACTTTGTCCCAGGTATTGATTTAGGCACTGGGGATATATATCAATAAACAGTGTGACAAAAATCCCTGCCTTCCTAGAGTTTTCATTCTAGTAGAGGAGGTGAAAAAAGAGCTAAGTAGATAACTATAGCTATAGCTATTATTAGAACTATACATATATGTGTGTGTGTGTAAACATATATATATGTATACACACACATATCATATGTTAGTTAATGATAACCCCTCAAGAGAAAAATAAAGCACACAAGGGAATGGAAAGCGTCACAGGACTGTATTTTAAGATAGTGGCCAGAGGAGGCCTTACTTGGAGGGTGACAGCTGAGTCAAGACCTAAAGGAAGGAAGAGAAGGAGCCATGAGGATTTCTATGGGAGAGAACAGCATGGGCAAAGGCCCTGAGGCAGGACCAGGTCTGGCAGGTTCAGGGCTATAGAAAAGGCTATACTGTCTCCAGTGTGGCTGGAGCCGACTGTGGTCAGGGGCTGGCTCTGCACACATTCCACAGATGCGCAGGAACGCTCCTAGCCCCGTTTCCTTTCCGGGCCAGGGCAAAGGCATGGGGGTGGGACCAGAATGGGCCAGAACCAGATGTGCTGCCTCCCCTCCCCAGGCCGTTCTGCCCCTGATGAAGTTCCTGGAGGTGAAGCTCTGCTACATGAACACCAACTTGGTTCAGGAGAACTTCAACAGGTCTGCAGCCGCCGCCTGCCCTGTGGCGCCCCCTCACCTCCACCTCTCCTCCCACCCGCCCCTCCTTCCCGGCCTCAGCATCCATCCTCAGGGGAGGGTGCAACCAGACTCTCTTAAATGCTTGCTCCAAGGGTCAGGGCGCTCATGGCCGCACAGTGCTATCCATTTCACCTTAGGCTGAGCTGAAACCTGTCTGTCCTCTCTCCCTTAGCCCTGGGCTGCGTCTGCGGGAGGCTGCAGCTCTACCCTCCCTAACGTTACAGGCAGCTGGTGTTCCAGGGGAACTTCTCGTTAGGGTCTCTCTCAAAACAGGGCCGAGCACACTGGGCAGCAGTGGGTAGAGGTCAAGGGGGCATGGGCTCTGGACGACCTGGATTCATACTCCAGTTTCACTGCTGCTTGGTGGGTGGCCTTGAGCAGATTACTCAAGTTTTCTGTGCAGATGGTCATGGTTCTGGCCTCTACTGAGGACTAAATGAGTCATGTGAAGCGCTGAGAGCAGTGCCTGCAACAAAGGAAGTGGTTGATGACTGAGCTGCTGTGACGACGGTGACGGTGATGATGACAGGTCCTCCACGTGGGGCTGCTGGCCCCCAGAGTTCTGCTCCTGGCGGGGCAGCGGGGCCTCAGACACCCACCTTCTTTATTTCCTAGGCCAGAGAATGCCATTAGTTCAGCTCTAATCTTCACACAAAATAGAGTTTAATCTCCACTAAGACAGGAGTTTAACGTACCACTCACTGCCTCAGAACATTTAGAACGGAGTCTGTGCATAATGAACACTTAAGTATGGGGACTAAATTAACTACTTTTATTTTTTTTTATTAATTTATTTTACTTATTTTTGGCTGCGTTGGATCTTCGTTGCTGTGAGTAGGCTTTCTCTAGTTGCGGTGAGCGGGGGCTACCCTTTGTTGCGGTGCGCGGGCTTCTCACTGCGGTGGCTTCTCTTGTTGCGGAGCACGGGCTCTAGGCGCCGGGCTTCAGTCGTTGTGGCACGAGGGCTTAGTTGCTCTGTGGCATGTGGGACCTTCCCGGACCAGGGCTCGAACCCATGTCCCCTGCATTGGCAGGCAGATTCTTAAGCACTGCGCCACCAGGGGGCAAGTCTCCAAATTAACTACTTTTAGTATGGACCACCCAATTTTTTTCTAAACTTTAAAAAATTTTTAGACCTCCCCCATTCTTTTTTTCTTTTTCTTTTTTTGGCCACACTGCGCAGCTTACAGGATCTTGGTTCCCCAACCAGGGATCGAGCCCACGCCCCCTTGCAGTGGAAGCGTGGAGTCTTAACCACTGGACCACCAGGGAAATCCCTAGACCTCCTCCATTCTTTCTTTTTTTTTTTTTTTTTTTTTTTTTTTTTTTTTGCAGTACGCGGGCCTCTCACTGTTGTGGCCTCTCCCGTTGCAGAGCACAGGCTCCGGACGCGCAGGCTCAGCAGCCATGGCTCACGGGCCCAGCCGCTCCGCGGCATGTGGGATCTTCCTGGATCGGGGCACGAACCCGTGTCCCCTGCATCTGCAGGCGGACTCTCAACCACTGCGCCACCAGGGAAGCCCCATTCTTTCATTCTTTTAATATTTATTTTTATTTACTTATTTATTTATTTATTTATCTTGGCTGTGCCGGGTCTTCATTGCAGCATGCGGGCTTCTTAGTTGCGTTATGTGAACTTCTTAGTTGTGGCATGCGGACTCTTGGCTGCAGCACGCGTGAGGGATCTTAGTTTCCCAACCAGGGATCGAACCTGGGCCCCCTGCACTGGGAGCATGGAGTCCTACCCACTGGACCTGGACCACCAGGGAAGTCCCATCCCCCCATTCATTTTTTTCTTTTTTTTAATTTATCTTTGGCTGAGTTGGGTCTCCGTTGCTGCGCACAGGCTTCCTCTAGTTGCGGCAAGCGGGGGCTACTCTTCATTGCAGTGTGCGGGTTTTTCATTGCAGTGGTTTCTTTGTTGCAGAGCACGGGCTCTCGGCATGCGGGCTTCAGTAGTTGCGGCGTGTGGGCCTGGTAGTTGTGATGCACGGGCTTAGTTGCTCCGTGGCATGTGGGATCTTCCCGGACCAGGGATTGAACACGTGTCCCCTGCATTGGCAGGCGGATTCTTAACCACTGCACCACCAGGGAAGTCTCCTGCACCCCCATTCTTTTTTTTTTTTTTTAATTTATTTATTTATGGTTGTGTTGGGTATTCATTGCTGCACGCGGGCTTTCTCTAGTGGCGGCGAGCGGGGGCTGCTCTTCGTTGTGGTGCGAGGGCTTCTCATTGCGGTGGCTTCTCTTGTTGCAGAGCACAGGCTCTAGGTGCACGGGCTTCAGTAGTTGCAGCACAAGGGCTCAGTAGTTGTGGCTCGTGGGCTCTAGAGCACAGGCTCAGTAGTTGTGGCTCACGGGCTTAGTTGCTCCGTGGCATGTGGTATCTTCCCGGACCAGGGCTTGAACCCATGTCCTGCATTGGCAGGCGGATTCTTAACCACTGTGCCACCGTGGAAGCGCCCCACCCCCGTTCTTAATTACACATTTTTTGTGCTTATCTGCCTGACTCTACTTTGACAAGTGAAATTTCAGTTATTTCAGGTTATTAGGATGGACTGTGGCTTGGTTGCTATTTTTTTCTCGCCACAGGTAGTACATGCTTACCCATGCTGTGTGCTGAGATCCTATTCATTTTGGTCACTCCCATCTTGACTCATGATTCTGTCATTGGGGGACCACCCTCCTGCTCCTTTTTTTGTTGGGGTTTGTTAATCCTAGTGAGAAGGATCCTTCACTAGCTTCCGAGACATGTTGGATAGGACTAGGCCTGTCTGCCCCGCCCCCTGCCCTCCTTCCCTCAGCAGACCAGCCCTCCCTCCCTCCCCTGCCCGCAGCCTGGGCCCCAGTCCCACCAGTGAGGCAGGTGGAGGGTGGGGGTGGGGAGGCACTGGCGAACGGGGGTGGGCCTGGGTCCCACGAGGCCTCTTCTTTCTCAAGAGCATCTCCGCTTCCTCCTCCTCTGTCCTTCTGTCCTGTGTCCGGCATCCCTCTGCACGGGCACCCCAGCCTTCTGACCTTGCTGTGGACCCACACGCTCACGGTGCTGGCGGAAGTGGCCGCTTCCCAGCGGAGCTGCCCTCTGGCTTCTAGCAGGCTGAAGATCGCACTACAGGTAATAACACCAGTGACAATAAAATCCCTGGTGGGAGAGTGCCTGGGGGTCACCTCTGATGTCTCGCCCCCTAGAACCTGGAGATCTGCTTCTACGCAGAGGGCTGTGGCCTGCCGCCCGAGGCCCTGCGCACGGCCACCTTCCAGGTAGGGGCCTTTTGGTTAGCTGGTGGTGTGGGGAGCCTGCCTTCCTGTGCTCACCTGTGTCCAGGACCAGCTACGTGATTTACAGGGCTCAGCACAAAATGAAAATGTGGGCCCCTTTAAAAAAACATAATTGAGGGCACCTCTCTTGCGGTCCTGTGGTTAAGACTCCGCGCTTCCAATGCAGGGGGAGCAGGTTCCATCCCTGGTCCGGGAACTAAGATTCTACATGCTTCGTGGCACAGCAAAAACCGAAAACAAACAAACGCCCCCCCCACCGAACCAACAAAAAACCCCTCCACGTGTGAAGTTCTTCTAAACACGGTTGGGGCGGGGGCGGCTTTGAGACACACCTGTGGAGCCCACCCTGTCGGTGCCTCTGGCTGTTGCCAGGGCAACCCTGCCTGTGGTCCCCCAGCGCCCAGTGCTTTCCACTTCACGTTGTCGTCTCCCGTTGGCTGCAAGCTTCTGAAGGGCAGCACTGGGCTGCGACTGTGTGACAGTTCAAGTGACTCCTCAGCTGTGCCCCATCCGCAGGCTCTGCAGAGGGACCTGGAGCTGCAGGCGGCCTCCAGCCGGGAACTCATCCAGAAGTACTTTTGCAGCCGCATCCAGCAGCAGGTGAGTGCCCCTCCTCCGCCGCGCGCGCTGCGCGCCTGGAGCCCCGCCTCGCCCGCTCAGCCCCTGCTGACGCTGCCCCTGCGCCCCGCCCCCAGGCAGAGACCACCTACGAGGAGCTCGGGGCCGTCACAGTCAAGGCCTCCTACCGCGCCTCCGAGCAGAAGCTGCACGTGGAGCTGCTCAGCGCCTCCAGCCTGCTGCCCCTGGACTCCAATGGTGAGTGGAGGCTGCCCCAGCCACTCTCCGTGTCCCCACTCTGGTCCCCCGAGTCCCCGGGGGCTCTGCTCGTCCAGCCTGAGCACTGGGTGCATTTCTGATGGATTACCAGGAGGGGGCAGTGCTGCTGAGCGGGGCACAGCTGCTGGCGTGGGCACCGGAGGCGGGGCTGGGATATCCTCGGCCAACGTCCCCTCCCCGGCCACTTGCCAGGCTCCAGCGACCCCTTTGTCCAGCTAACCTTGGAGCCCAGGCACGAGTTCCCTGAGCTGGCCCTCCGAGAGACCCAAAAGCACAAGAAGGACCTTCACCCACTGTTCGATGAGACCTTTGAATTGTGAGTGGTCCCACTAGCCCTGGACCCGCCTCAGGCCTGCTCCTCCCAGCTGAGGCGGGCCGAGGGGCTCCCCTCAGAGGACTGGGCTTGAGTCCCAGGGAGGGAGCACTTGGGACAAGTGTTTGCTGGCACAGGCCTCAGACCTGCTCCCCTGCAGGTGGAGTGAGGCTGCTGGGGAGACTCCTCCCAGTCTGAGTCCAGTTGCTTTCAGGGAAGGGTGCTGCCCCTGAGGTCCTCTGTTCCACCAGTCAGGCGGGCCTGGGTACACAGGGGCCCCTGGTTTAAAGCATCGGCCCACAGTCAGAGCAGGCATCATGGCGTGTGGCCCAAGGTACACCAGGCTGAGAGCTCTCAACCCTAATCCCACGCGTCTGGGTGAGCCCGCGTCGGGGGCTGTGTGGCCACGGCAGCACGTGGGGCAGGCAGCTGAGCCCGGCTCTGACCCCCGCCCAGCCTGGTGCCTGCTGAGCCGTGCCAGAAGGATGGGGCGTGCCTTCTGCTCACGGTGCTGGATCACGACACGCTGGGGGCTGATGACCTTGAAGGGGAGGCCTTCCTGCCGCTGTGCTCGGTGCCGGGCCTGACGGGGACTGTGGAGCCCGGCGACGTGCCTCAGACCCGCCTGCCCCTCACCTACCCTGCACCCAACGGTAGGCCTGAGCCCTGTGAGTGTGGGCCCTGGCCCAGCACTGGGAATACAGGGGAGGGGCAGCCGTGAAAGGCTCAGGGGCCCCCAGAGGCCGAGTTGGGGTCAGAGGAAAGCCTCCTTGGAGGCGGAAGCCTGTGGAGCCAGCCTGGTGGCTTGTGTTGCTGAGATCTCGCGCCTGGTCAAGGACCAGTGGAAGGTTAATTTAGGCCAAGTGTGTGCGACTCTCTCTGGTGGGATAAGGTCACCAACAAGTTTGCCTGGGGAGAGGGGCCATTTCTGTGCCCAGGGGGCACGTTCTTGCAGAGCAGTCCCCAAGCTTGATAAGAGGGGTAGGTCTTGTGTTGGAGCGCTCACGATGGGTCATTTCTAAGCACTGGACATATGTTAACCCTCAGTCCTTACAACCACTCAGTGAGTCAGGTGTTATCGCTACTCTCCGGATGAGTAAACTGAGGCACGGATTGGTGGACCGGCCCAAGGTTCTTGTATGAAAAGGAACAGGCACGTCAGCCTCTCGCGCCGCAGGTGCGCCCCGCTGCCCAGGCGTGGCAAACGCGTTTCCTGCCTCACCTGTCAGGCTGTCTTGCGAGCTTGGCTGGTGTGGGCCCATGGCTAATTTCTGGGGAATAGGGCAGTGCTGTAGCCCCTGCCACTCCCCGAGTCTGACCCCCCAAATGCCTCTCTTTGCAGGGGATCCAATCCTGCAGCTGTTAGAGAGCCGGAAGGGGGACCGCGAGGCCCAGGTGTTTGTGCGGCTGCGGCGGCAGCGAGCCAAGCAGGCCTCCCAGCACGCCCCGTGGCCAGGGCGGTAGCAGCGGGGCTTGGGTCCCTGGGAGGCCTGTGTTCCCCCCACCACAGCGCAGCCCTCCCACCTGGCCTAACACTCCAGGAGGGCCCTGCAGGTCGGGGGAGCCCCAGTGTGCGGGGTTCCCGCTGCCAGAGCCGGGGCCCGCAGTGATGGGGGCCCCATTCGCAGTATTTATACCCCCTGCTTCCTCCCCTCAGCCCCAGCCTCAGCGTTCTCTGCCAAATCCAGCCCCTGGGGGAGCGGAGACAGCTGTCTGCACCCCTTCCCCCTGCTCCCCTCGTAGGGAAAAGCTGCTCTGGCAGAGGAGGGGCTCAGCCCTTCCTCTCCTGGCAGGCCTGTTCCAGCCACTGAAGTGGGGGGCCAGGTGCCTTGGGCCCTATTCTTCAGCAGCCATAATGGAGGGGGCCTGGGTCCTCTCCTGAGGGAGCTGCCAGCACCCAGGCTAAGGAGCCTAGAGCCCTGAAGGGGTGAGAACTGGTGGGCAGTGGGGCTGGCACAGTTTGGCTATCTGTGTCTGCTGAGGACCGCTCCTCCTTGGGACAGTACCTAGAAATTTTCTTAGCGAAAATAAAAAAATTAACAATACATCGTCCTCTTACTAAACATACTGTTGGCTTGCAGCGGGGCCTAGGTTACAGCCAAGCCATCACAAACCCCTCCTCAGCCCTCAGGAGAGCCTGGGCTGCCCCCGACTCTGGGCCCCAGCCCACCGCGCACTCCCCGTTACAGAGCAGTGGGGTAGATGTGGAGGTAACTGACGCAGCAGCAAAGGCTTCGAACAAAACACCACCAGACGTATCAGGTTCTGTCGCCACTGCCCAACACAGGAGCCTGGCACTCATGGGGGCACCCCATGAGTGGGGGGGGGCCTCCCAGGGGTGCAGGCTGAGGCTGAGGGGCTGCTCTGAACAGCAGGGCTTAGAGGAATGGGGCCCCAGACCTGCCTGGGGGAGTGGCCCATATGCTGGGAGTCAGAGCCTGAGGCTCACTTCTCATTCCAGTGTGACTGTGGTTGAGTCACCTAACCTCTCTGAGCCTGCACAAGTATGATGAATGGGGGGAGGTCAGATAAGACCACGTCCAAGGCTTCTTTCAGCTCTGCTCCTCTGAGACCCATACAGAAAGCCCACAAGGTGTGTGTTTTCCCACCCACCTAACAGGCCAGCTAAAAGCAGGGGAGGGGAGGTGGCTCAAAGGCTCCCTCAGGGGGCAGGCCCACCTTTCTTTCGATGCTTTTATGAGTAGGCACTGTCTGTTCCTCTGAGAAGCTACTAGGGGCCTTGTTGTCTTTTGGAAAACATTAAGTATACCAGTTGCATCTGACGATAGAGCTCTGAAGAGCCCTAGGGCCTGGGAGGTCTCTGGGTCCAGGGCTTAAGGTCCCCATCCCATCAACCCCAGCAGGCCTGCGTCGGAACACTCAAGCTCTGTCTAGGAGCCCGGAGCAGCCTTTGGGCCTGGATGGGCCCAGAGTGCCTCAAGGCCTCTTCAGCTATCTAGCCACACCTCAGGGGTCAGGCACGAGCCTTTCCCATGGCTGAAACCTGGGCTGGGCTGGCTGAGCTGGGCCAGAGGCCCTCCTTTAGGGCCCAACTGTCCCTCACCCAGACATAAACAAGCTACCACCGCAAGTTCATATTTTATTTCCAATACGTTTGGAGCTTTGATTTTTGCGTTTTTGTAAAAAAGTTTTCACTTAATTCGTTGAAAGCCCTTTCGTGCTGAGCCCAAGGGGGCGCCTGGGCCGGGCCAGACCCTTTGCAGCCCTCTTGCTCCCACCCCAGACCCCCAGTGCTGGGAGTGGGGTGGCTTCCCTCTGCCCACTCTGCCCTCCCACCCCCTGCTGCATCTCTCTGTACAGAACAATTTTAAAAATGGAAGCTAAGACACAATATACATCGGACAGGCACGCACACACATGCACACAGGCGTCTGCTCCAAACGGGCAGGACGTCAGCTGCACTCAGAGAGCACCAAGGAATGCATACGGAGCCCCTCCTGGGGAGGAGGGCGGGGCCTGAGCCCCACCTTGGTCCTCACAGTCCGCAGCTCCTCCCCACCTATTGCCCTGCTAGCTGCCAGAGGGAGGGGTGGACAGCACGGAGGGCTGTGCAGAGGGGAGACAGCTGAGGGCAGCTGGGGGGTGATGGAGAGGGCAGTGCCAGCCTGGTAGGTCGCCCTGGGGCCAGGGAGGCTGCTCTAGGAGCCCGGGGGTGGGGGGAGGACTGGGGTACACCCCCGGCCTCAGGTACCTGAGGGGTAAAAGGCCTGGGCTTTGCCCCTCGAGGAGCTGCAAGAGCCCAGGGTTGGGAGTGGGGCTGGCCCCACGGCTTTGGCCCACCAGCCTGGACTAAACACACGCTTGGTAACCCTAGAGCTCGGCGGGCTTGGATCCCCCACGCTCAAGCCTCACAGCTGGGAACCAGGTCTGGGCCCAGGTCCTCCACACCCCTGGCTCTCGCCCTGGCCTGGGGAAGTGGGGTGAGCAGGGCCTGCCCTGAAGGCTTGCCCCCCCCCCCCCTTGGCCCCTTCTAGCTTTCCACCCTTCCCTGCTCAGGCCCCAGGAAGAAGTTAAAAATAGTTAGTTCCTACATAAAAAAGAGGCTGAAACAGATTCCCTGCCAAAAGGCTGGTGGGAGAAGAGGGGACTCTGTCTCTGCAGTGGGAAAGGTAGGGAGCGGGCAGAGGGAGGACTGCAAAATAGTTTTTTCTCTTAAAAAGTGCTTGGTGAGTCTGTTTAAAGTGTGTGTCTATATCCACGTATAGATATACACACAGACACTGTTCACACACTGGCCGCCCACGCACACCTACACACATACAGAAATGTATACATAATCATATACATATACATACATACATACATACATACATACATACATACATATATATACTTTAAAAAGTCCTAGGGGAGAAGATCTGAGCCAGGCCGGGGCCAGGCCTGCAGGGTCACGACTGGAGGGCGTGGGCCCGGCCTGGCTGGCAGACGGGGCACTCACTGCCCTCGGCACAGAGCTCACACAGCACGGCGTGTTGGCACGGCAGCACCGCTCGGTTCTGCTCCTGACACTTAAGGCATTTCACCGACTGCATGTGGAACACGGCCTGCGGGGAAAGGGACATCACGGTCACTGGCCCAGCCCCACGTCGGACAAAGAGCTCCCCCAACTCTCACTGTAGCCCCTTGGGGTGAGGAAGCTCGACAGTGTGCTTACAGGCCCCAGCTGATAAGGAGGAGGGCAGGGTCAGGGGGCTGGCTGATCACCTCAAGGCGCCTCATCTCTGCTTTCAGCTGCAAGGCCGAGTGGGGCTGAGTCGGAGCTGTGCGTGTGGGAGCGGGGAGGGCCAGGGCCGCTCTACAGCTCCCAGCCGGACAGGCTTTCCCTCGCACAAAGGCTTCTGCCTCTTGTCTCGTTTGACCTTATAATGACCCTAGGTCCCCAGTGAGAACTGTGGGGTCTGGAGAGGTAGTGACGGGCCCGAGGTGACACGGCTGCCCAACGAAGGGAAGTATACTCTTCCCACTGTGCCGCACTCCCCTGGGGACCCAGAAGGGCACCGAGGAATGCAGACAGTAGCCCTGGGGACCTAACCATTCTGGAATGTCCGCTGGCGTGTGCAGAGCTCACAGGAAGAGAAGTGGTCAGGATGAAACTTAGGGCCCAGGCGTACTAATGCAGCTCAGCTCAGTGCCTGCCCTCGAAAGTGCCAGGGGTGGGCCCTGGTGCCCATCTACCTCCAGGTTTCCCACCTCCCCAGTGAGTGACTTTCTATTCCGAGCTCCTCTCCAGCAGGCTGGCATTTTGTGTGAGCTCAGCGGGGACAGAGGCTCTTAGGAGGGTGGGCATCCCTGGAACAGCAGGGACCCATCCAAGTCCAAGCACTGGCTGAGCCCACTGTACCTCCCCACCCTGTGCTTCCCAACCTCCTAAGCTGACCTTGTCCACTTGCTCCAAGTGAGCCCGCAGCTGCTTCTGGAGAGAGTAGAGGGTGGAGAGTGAGAGGGCTTCCAGGTCGGGGAAGGTGGGCAGGGCCTGCGGGTCGGAGGCCGAGTGCAGCCGCTCCAACTCCTCCTGTAGTTTCTTCACCTGCACCTCCAGTGCATCTCGCTGCTCCCGGGCCAGCTCGCACTCAGCGCCTGCCGCGCTGGCCCGCTCCCCGGCCTCCTCTGCCTCCTTCTTCCAGGCATCACAAGCCTATGGGCCCAACACGCAGCACCTTGTCATGATGGCCCCCCTGCCCTTGCCCCCCACCCCAAGAGTGCATCTCTGGGAGCCCGTGTGGGCCACTGTGGCTGCGGGGCCTGCGGGGGAGCTGGGTCAGGTGTCTGGGAAGTGGGGCAGGGAGGAGGGCTGATGCTGCCTGCAGAGAGGAGAGGTTTCAGGACCTGCAAGAGACCCTCTGTGGGCAGGGAAAGGGGCTGAGCCCAGCACAGCAGGGGAGCACCAGGCAGAGCTGGCCAGCACCTCCAGGGGCAGCCATGCTGTGGCTGGACATAAGGCCCATCTCAGAACCTAGAACCCTGGACCTAGAGCCCTGGAGAGTCAGGGCTTCTGGGCAGAAGCAAGCAGTGCTATGGGCCCAGACCAAATAAGCAGCTCACAGAGGGAATTCCAGGCCTGGGATACCAGCCACCCCAGGGTCTTGACCGGCAAGGCAAGTTTTTCCACAGGGGGAGAGAATAAGCCGAACGGAGTTTCTGCTCTGTTCTCCAGGACCCCTGGCCTCCCCCAGCCCCCGTACCCACTCTGTGTAAGATGGATGGGCTTGGGCTAGATGCCACAGGCCCCGGGAAAGGCGGGTGGGCGGGGCCAGTACCTGTCTTGCCTGCTTCCAGGACTCCTCCCACTGCTTGATGGTGCCGTTGGCTTCATCTAGCTCTTGCCGAAGCCGGGCCAGCTCGGCAGCCCCGGGCCCTGACAGGAAGGCAGGGGAAGTGCCCGGGGAGAAGTTTCCAGAGGCAAAATGCTCCCAGATGCTGCTATTCATCCCATTCAGACCTGCCCCAGGAAGGCGAGGAACATCAGAGCTCCGAAGAGCTTTGGGCTTGGGCCTGGCCCCCGCCCTGTCCAGCCCTGCCTGGGGGCCTCCAGAGGCTGGCTGTGCAAGGCTCCGGCAATGTCAGGCTGGGGAATTTCACAGGGATGCGCAGGCGCCACCTGTTACTCATGAGCTGCTATTTGACTTTCGAGTCTCAGCATCCCCGTCCGTAAAGTGGGGCTCCCGTCACCTGCCTCACGAGGTGAGTCAGGGGCCTTGGGAAGTGCTGTAGGGAGAGCAGTCTGGGAATGTGGCAATTTGCGAGCCCAACTTCACTTTCAGCCTAGAGAAAGGGGAGCCTTCTTGCACCCTGATGTGAGGCCCAGGAGGAGATTCAGGAAAAAAGACTTGGGTCAAGAGCCTCAGATGATGGCAGAGCTGGAGCCGGAAGAGCACAGGGAGCCCTTGGTCCATCCCCCTTGTTTACAGTGAGGAAACGGACATAAAACATGTTGCCAGGAATCACAAAAACAGTTACATGGTAGAGCCAGGACACAGCCAGGGCGTCTGGCTCCAAAGGCCTACTCTTTGCAAACAGCTAAGCT